GCGCGTCATTGCCTTTGCATGCCACGACAGAAAATTCCGGAAATCATAATCTGTTGATTGCTGCCAACTATACCCCTTTGTAAATAAAATAGCCCATTGCCGTGGCAACCATGAATATTGTGTTATCAGTATGAAATTTTTTTGCATTGTACATTGGATAATTTTTGTCATTTTGATCGCGGAGATTATAAAACAATATGGCATGTATAAATTGTGGGATGAAGGAGAGATTGAGTTTGCCACAATAAACCCAGTCACCAGCTCTTTATTCTGCCAGATGTTGTGTTAGACAGCGGACATGTAGCTTAAAGGAGACTGACGTCCTTCTGTGTTATCAGTCATCCAAGTTAATATATCATATCTGATCGTTCTTATTTCTTCTTAGTCCTTGAGATGTATGCTTTACAACACTTTTTTTAGGGGACCATTTAACTAAGATCTGTCATAAGATCATTAATTATCTTAAGATTGCACCAGAGGTGTTTCTGAAACTTAACAAGATCAGGGTCAAAGGGACAAATTAAAAGAATCCAAGGAATGCTCTTCTCATACGAAATACTGTGGAATCATTTTTATTTTTGGGGGTCAATGTTTGTGGGTAGCCAAAAATTTTCTGGTTCGTGGGGACGTAATTTCGTTGATAACAAGTTATATTTCGTAATTTAACTTTTAATGAATAATAAAACAAACATTTGGATATACGTTCGTGGGAATGTAAATTCGTGGGTCAGGGTTATCCAAGAAATCCACGAACATTGGTCCCCCACCAAAAATAATGATTCACAGTATACAAGTCACTGAAATGTTAGAAACCCTGGTACAAACTGTTCAAAAGTTAAGGTCAAGGTTTAAGTTTTATAAAAGTAAGTCAAACTCCTTGGTAAAGGTCAAAAGGTCAACATTGTTGGTATCCATTGGAAGGACCTGTCACAGGGAATACATTTGTGAAATATAAAGGCCCTGTAGTACTATCTGAAATGGTTAAAGTTAATGTTTTTAAAGTGGGTCAAATTCAAGGGGCCAAAGTCAAAAGGTTAAGAGATTTATATCCATGGAAAGGTCTTGTCCCAATGATTACACATGTATAGCATGAAAGCCGTAGCACTAGCACCAACTGTTTTTTAAAAAGTTATGGCCAAGGTTAAAGTTTGGTAAATTCTTGCAAAAGTGAGTCATGCTCCAAAGTCAAGTTCAAGAGGTTGAATATGTTGGTCCCCTTAGAATGGCCTTGTCACAAGGACTACACATGTGATATATAGAAATATAAACCCTTTGTTCTGACCACTTAAAAGTTATTGGTTAGGTTAAAATTTTTGCTGACAAACGACGGACAGGGCACAATCTATATATACCCCCTAATCTTTGATTACAATGGCATAAAAATTAATTTTGGTTCTGTATAAAACAAAATTACAAATGTGGAACTACATGAGAAGGCCAACACAGACAATATACGAACATTGTTGACAAAACGGAGATGGCGATGGATAGGGCATGTGTTGAGGAAACCAGCCGAATGCATCACCAAAGTAGCCCTTAGATGGACACCGAAACCTGGTCGGCCAAAGAACACGAAGGACATGAGGGACCAAAAATGGGGAGAGTTAGAAAGAAATAAAGAAAATATAGTCCTTGCCCTATGTGCCCACGGGCATAACAAGGACTAGGTAGGTAGGTAGGTATAAACACCAGGCCTGCATTTTATTTAGATTCATGCTTCACACATGAAAAATATAAAGATAAATCTAGTCCAACTCATGAAGTAAATTTCATAGATATTGAATTTCCCCTTTTATTTTAAACTTTAAAGAAAATGCATAATTCCCCACAGTCAACTGTATCAACATTTCTGCTCTGACACATTCTAGCAGTTCTAACAGATGTTAATGTAGCAATTGCGGATATCAGTGTAATAGGATGGAAAAAGCCGTCAGGCGTTAATGTAGCAATTGCAAAAGTATTACTAGATTATGCGGATTTGATACAGAAGTATTATTATCAACACAACATCCCTTCACAGCTTTGAAAGCCATTGTCCAAGACTAAGATGTCCTCACAAGGATTTAAACCAGTCACTTTTTAATTTCTAGCCTAATTCATGTAAGCTAGCCTACATTTCTCTAAGTGGAATAAAAATTACCTAGTATATGCTCAACAATGAATGTGAATTTTCATATAGGCTATGTATTGATAGTAAATTGTCAGTTTATATGTCAAATCAAATGTCATTTTGAGTAAAACATAGGCAAAGTTTGGGGGAGGGTATATAGGAAAAACCTTGTCCATCTGTCTGTGCAAAGGTATCCGGTATCCATAACTCTCTAAACTTATGGAGGAACATTAGAATCTCCTACTTCACACAAAGATTGCTCATGACCTAAGGGTGTAACATGACCTTTATCCAAGGTCATTTGGGAAGTTCAAGGTCACTGAAAGAAAAAATTTCATTGTTCATGTCTGGTCCATATCTTTCTTATGTATAAACTTAGTGAGTTTCCATTTTTCACTAAGACTGCATATGACCTGAGGGTGTGTCATGACCTTAACCCAAGGTCTTTGTGCAAGTTGAAGGTCACTAAAAGAAAAAATCCATAATTCGTGTTTGGTCCATATCTTCCTTATTAAAAAAAAACTTTAATCTACTACCTACACAAAGATAGCTTATGACCTGAGGGTGTGTCATGACCATGACTCATTTGAGCAAGGTCAAGGTCACTAAAAGAAAAAGGGCATTATTTTTGTCTGGTCCTTAACTTTCTTGTGGATAAAGTTGTTGGGTTCTTATTTTATACAAAGATTGCTTATGACCTGAGGATGTGTCCTTACTTTGACCTACGGTCATTTGTGCAACACGTTTAAATGTGATTAACAAAAAAATAGTATTTGGAATTTTTGTTTTGAAAGTGTGTAACAAAATGGTTTAACTGATACTGATGCAGGACATGCACTACTTTATGTTTAAAGCAACCTTTTGTTGGTATACAGCTGTGGCATAATGGTGTACATTGTCAGTACTATATATAAAGCTATATATACAGCTAACACTATAGGTGTACCTATTTATGGTGTTATATTACAGTGACAGCTTCCAAGGGGAAATCAATTAGGTTTAAAAAATAGGGTATAACTCATGTGTGACAGATATATTGTCAACTCAAGTTTAGTGCAGCATTTAGACTGCCTCGGTAGTTCTTTGTTTTGGTATTATTAGCTCACCTGAGCTGAAAACTCTGTGAGCTTTTCTGATCACCCATCGTCTGTCTGTCTGTCCATGCTAAAAACTAATCACATTTTCAACTTTTTCTCAAGAACCACTGAGCCAATTTTATCTTAAGTTTGTACAAAGTAGTCCTATTGGAATCCCCTTTAGGAATTCCAAATTTATTAAATAAAAGGGTCAACAAAGCCCTTTTCCAAGAAAAGATAAGAAAATTAGGTTTGTGTGAAAAAAAAATCTTCATAAGAACCACTTCATCACATGTGTTGTGACCCAAGGGCTATTGAGACCATCTTAAAATAACACTTGTTTGTCCATCCCCTGACTCAGTATTGAAAAATAGAGGCTGGTTAGTTTGAAGGGATATTTTCCACCAGAATTTTTATTTTCAATGCAGAATTTTCAAAATCTATTAAAATTGAAGGCATTATTTTTATACCCCCCGCTTGAAAAGCGGGAGGGTATATAGTATTGAAAAATAGAGGCTGGTTAGTTTGAAGGGACATTCCGCAACTCCTCTCATACCACTGAATGAAATTTGATGAAACTTTCACAGAATCTTTATTACATGTTGCCATTGTGCACCTCCTATTTTACTTTTTATCCGACACATATTTTTTTCCCGGCCACAGGAAAACATGTACTAGTTATAAATTGGGAAGGCATTAGCTCATCGCTCACAGTACCTCTAGTTTAACAATAGAATATCTACCACAGGGTTATATTCACAAGCCGTGTTTTTTAAAGCTTTCACTTAAAAAGAAAATTGTCAACCTCATCAGATTGCTGTAGTGCATTTGTTGGCCTAGAGATATTAAAAAACCACAGATATTGTATGTTTTATGTGATGTTCTGTTAAGATTGTAAAAAGCTACATCATGGCCACTTGTACTTATGATTAGCTTTACAGGTGATGGAAAAGCCCCAACAAAAGAGATGAGCATCAGTTAACAGTAAAACACTTTTTTATCAGTCATTTAAGATAAATTTCATGAGTGCAGGGGTGTAAATTGGTTTTGAGATCTTTTGCTACTGTTATTATAATAGATAAATGTGCTCGATGATGTTATCATGAAATATTTATTACACTAAACATGGTGATTCAATTTAACAGTACATCTTATCATTTTGTGTTTAACCATTTTCCTTTTGCTTTTTGAAAAAAAAAAAGATAGCAAAATATATAATTGTAATTTTCAGTTTGAAAAAAGGTTTCGATTGGAAGTAGATAGAGACTTTTTAAATTTCAGTTACTGTTTAAATTTTTACATTTTTTTTCAAATCACAACAATAAGCATCATTACTTTCACTGTGTGTAAAGAAATATTGCTGAAAATTATAGAGTAATTAATTCATATACTAGAAGGCAGAGAGAAAGTTATCATGCTGCAGGCATGAGGAGAGAAATAGCTATTGAAAAAGGGTTCAATGTTAGGGGCTGCCTTAACACTGGTACAAATAGATTAACCAAGGGGTGACTCTCTAGTAATGACAAATTTTACAATAAATCTATGGGGGTTGTATAATCCCAGCAGAAACTTAAGCATGCTATCAATATTTTTGTAGAGAAATTATTGACTTGTTTTTCCCTGACAAATGGTAGAAAGGATCCATACTGAAGCTTAGTAGTTGAAGTCAATGATATTGATAAAATTCTAGCCAGTTTTTTCCATGAATTGTCACATATTCAGTCCTTCATTTTGCATTTCTGACATGATGGAGTAGAGTTCCCTTATTGTGAATGTGATGTGTGTTTTAATGTGGATATATCATATACTTCCAGTAAAATTCCAGAAAATCTTGGAGCAGAGTTGACAAGCAAGGAAGGAGAGAACCGTATTTTAGCCTGTAAATTTTCACCTTCTTGGAGATACTTTGCAGTCTGTGATGATACCAAGCAACTATATCTGTTCCACTGTGGAGAACAATGGGAAATGGTTAGCAACAGGTACGTAGATATAGGGCCAGGTGACGGAGTGAAACTGACGGCTGGCAATTAACGCAGTGTCACACCGCGTGCTCGGCAGGGAGCTCGAGAAATGCTTGAAGCCCTGAGATTAGGCTAATAAAGCACACTGCCCGCAACACTCTGTTTTAGCTAGGTTAAATGGGAATATTCTCCTTGTTTGGTGAAGAAAGAGGGAGTGCTGAATAGATGTGTTGTTTACTGACAGCCTCGACTTTCTCCCTCATACAGAAATAAAATATGACTACTGCAAAACTAGTGAAGGTAAAAGCTGTAATGTATTATGTGTTTAGCCATTTCCTCTTTCCCACATCACTCCATTTGCACCCTGGTAATAAATAGGGTGGGTTATTTATGAAGAGAGGCCTGTTTGAATCCTGTGTAAACAATGGCTGCTAGAGTCCTCCTCAGCAGCCATTCCTATCTTTGTGCGCGACCTGTGCCAAAGGTCTCCCTATCTATTTCATGCAAGACTGATTCACTTCAATTGAAAATGGGCCTTTAAATTATGAAGTAAAACAGAATGGGAAAATGATGGCATTGATTCTCAACAAATACCCTGCAAATTTATAATCACTTTATCAATATTTATTTCACAGTCCTGACATTAGAGAAATGTTTTAGTTAGGTAAAACAGAGGCCATTGTGGTATATTCATTTTGATTTTTAAGAATAGGTGGAAAATAAAAAGTTAGTAATGATTAGATGGAAATGTCCTATTTGATTTTTTTTTTGGAAAAAAAGGGGAGCATGTATGCAGGTTGCAAATATATGTGAAAGATTACAGTATATGTAGTTATGTATTAAACAATATTTTCACATAAGTAGAAAAGAGAGATGAATTTTTTATACATATTTTAATATTTATAGTGATATAAATGGGTTCATTCAGAATTAGATTTTGGTTTTACAGATTACAAATGTAAAATTCTGGAAGTTATAATTTTGTTTTTGTGCATCTCTAGAAGTTCATGACAACAGCTATTAAAAATAAATGAATTTTGACAGCACACTCTCAAATTCAGACTGAAGCTTAATAGATTGAAAAAAAAAAAATATTTTCATTCTGGTGTATTACATTTTGTAACATTTGCAATCATATGCTATGCAATTCAGGTGTTTCTTTTTTTTTTTAATCTTCTTTAACATTCTAATGATAAAATAACTTAAGTTAGATGATTTTTCTCTCTGTTTTCTTAAATTAAGTTTTTGATTCTAGTGGAAAATTTTGAAAATATTACATGTGCAAGTTAATTTTAAAATCTTTGAGTAAATTTAGATAATATAATTCCATGCAATTGAAAGTCAAATTCCATCTACCTTTTATATATAAAGGAAACTTTTACATATTTTAAGGAACAAGTAAGATTTCCTAGTTTCAAATTTAATTAAGGTCTTCCGTTTCCAACGGAAGACCTTATTGTTTTCGTTCGGTTTCTTTTTCCCTATTATTAAGGTCTTCCGTCTTCAGCGGAAGACCTTTCTGTTATTCTTAGGTTTCTTTTCCACAGTTTTTATTATTTTTTTTCTTACAAATTTTGTGCACGCGAGTTCTCCAAAACGGCTCGATCAATTTTCATGAAACTTTCAGGACTGATAGAACATCAAAAAATCTAGGTATATATTTTTCCGTTTTAATGACGTCACTTCCGGTTCGGAGATTTCTGCGATTTTGTCATTTTTAGAGGGTCTCTTTGTCCGTGAATGTTCTCAAAAACCATTGAAGATAGAAGTGTTAAATTTTCAGTGATGCTAGAGCAACCTTTGAAGAAGTGCCTTTTGTATATCACAACTACCAGAAGTACGAAGCGCCGACGCTCGCTATGGCCCGAAAATTGTCCTATCAAGAATTTCAAAATTTTTAACACCTTATCTACGATAACTTTTTACCTAGAAATATTTTGTTAAGACATGTAGAACAAAAGAAGTGTATAATTACAAGATCTTTTAATTGATATCTCCAAAAAAGGGCTGGCCCCTAAAATGAAGGGCCTACAGGGGCCAAAAGTTTTTCCTCTATATCTCAAAAAGTATTGAGAATTTGTAAAACGTCAAAGAAGCAAAGTTGTTCAAAATGTCATGTTTAATCAATTTGAGTCGTCAAATTACGTCCAGCGACGTCATTTCCGGTCAAACCGGAAGTTGTAAGAAAATGCGTATTTTTGTCGTTCTTGACACGTTTTGGGGTACCATCTGTCACTGGGAGCAGAAAAACATAATTTCTGTCTGTCTTAATTCATCACTTCCGCCCAAACCGGAAGAAACAAAAAATCGCTTATCTTTGCATTGATTAACACGGAATTGGAGGATTCAAACCTATTTTGGACGTCATTACAATTTTCTTAATGAAAGTACATTCTGGTCAGATATCCTTTTAAACAAAATGCTTTTAAACGAGCTCTTTTGCTCTCCTTTGCATTATTTAGTGACTTTTTTTTCTTTTTGTTAAGTTTTAAAATTAAAGAAAAAAACATCCAAGAGAGAGAGAGGGAGAGAAAAAGTAAAAATATCTTTTCTGCTTAAATATAAAACGATACAATATTATCACAGAACACTTTCAGGAATCAATTTGTTCAGAATCATAAACTGTGCAATGTTTTCATTCATCTCGGCCCAAATTCTATTGTGTTTACCGTTACGTAATCATCTTCGATCATCCGCTGCCGAGGACATCTAAAGCGATCCACCGCGTGGGAACCGCTGCCCCGTATCCACGGTTGTAAATAACTTGCAGTAAAAATCAGCGTATTAAAATTAAACTATTGTGGAAACACAACAATTAATGATTATTTATGATAATCGAATATTTGAGATCACATTTACCAATCTTTGTTTAAAATATGAAGTTTGATACACGTAATCTTCATCCAAAACGGCTACTGAGTAGTCACTACGGGTTTTGTTTACATTTACGCAACCAACCATTCCGTCGATTGCTTGCTGACTTGCACTTATCTATCGCGTCCACTTACATGTAATTAGTGGTCAATGACCAAACATTGTTCTTAAAGATGAATCTAATTTACAAAAACAACCACTTACTGGATAATTTACAAAAACAAAGTTACAACTTTACAACATTTTGTTGCGTGATTAAAGATCGGTAGCAGGTTATACATGTAGATAGGAATAAACCTATGTCCAGGGCTACTTTCTGGGAAAAAGAATACCGGAGTTCTGGTCATTGATTCCATTCTCTCAGTCCAGTGAATACATATACTTGTACATGCAGCTACTGAATATAACAAACTTATGATTATTGATTGCTAAACTTAATTTTACCAACTTAATTTCAATTGTTTATTTCAGAATCGACAGCATAGTCAAACTTTTTGTATTTTTTTTAATGTGTATACGCCTGTTTATATATTAAAAAAGAAAACAGACAGATCAATTATTAGCAGATTGAGACTTAGTGCTCATAACCTCGCAATAGAAAAAGGAAGACATTTTTCTATACCTACAGATAAAAGAATTTGTAATATATGTAACACAGGGGAAGTGGAAGATGAATTTCATTTTCTTTTCATCTGCCATAAATACAATAATCATAGGTCAACTTTTGAAAAGAATTTGATGAATTTTTTCCATGATAAAATATTAAAAATGTCTAATACTCAAAAAGCTAAACTTTGCTTTAATAGCCATTGTCCAGAAGTACTGAAAATAACAAACTCATTTATTAAAAAATGTATTACATCTAGAAATGACTGCTTAACATAATTATTTTACAAATGATGTACAATTTAGCTATGATTATATATAGCCTTACATTCTATACCAGATTATTGTTTAAGAGCGAGTCTACGAGAAAATCATGCAAAATTAAAAATTTGTTACACAAGTCACATTTTAAAAAGATGATTTTAAATACATAATTTTGAAGAGAATGAACCTATATAACTATTGTGAAAAAAATTTCAATAAAGGTGTCCTCCTAATCGAGATAGCCCCGAATCTATTTATAGCCCACTGGTGGGCTGAATTTTCAAGGAAAAATAGCACTTTTATAGGCCCTTTAAAAAAATAAAATGAAACAATGATTTTGAAAATTTTTGTGTTTTATGTTGAATTAATAAGTATAACTTTTTGTTTATGGTTGAATTTTGTTTACCAGATCTTATTAATTTGGGAAATTCAAAAGGTTTTATAAGAGAAAAATCACTTGACTTTTTATATCTCTATGAGAAACGCAGTACTGTGTTTGATACAACGGGTGAACTTTTGTTTATAATTATCTATCTGATTTAATTAGTTATTTTACACAACATCTTTCGAGGAATTTCTTGGATTTACAATGAATCGCGAGATATACACTTTTGAATCTCTTTATTTTTTACCGAATTATCGATCTTTTCGAACTCTTCAGTGCATGAAGAGTAAAAAAGTCATTATTTACATGGAGGGAAAATGGCAGCGATGTCGTCGGGTATGTGTGATTTTGGTGAAGATTGTGAAGAAACGGCGATATATTATTTGAACGGCTGTGTTCAACAAACCTTTCACCACCTCAGATATTTGGACTCTTAACTCTAAGGGTATAGATCTGCCCGAAAGTTATCTAATTCTATCCAGAGTGGGTATCGATGTAATCACATTAGCACAGCTAAACAAGAAAATTTGCCAAAGATTCAGATGCGCGCTTGGTCTGTACTGGAAACGGAGCAAGAGATCTTGTGTACATCCCTTTCATGGTTTATCTAAAACGAAACCAGACTGAGGCATCACACCAGTTTTAAGCTGGGAACTTTGGTTGCGCAACGTCTACAGCTACACGTATCAGTACCAATAGATGAAGGTAATAACAATTTTGTCAAACTGACCAAGTTATGAAATAATATCCTTGAATTATTATACTTAAACTTGATTTTTTTCCTACACAAGTTTTGAATATATATGATTCCTAAACTTGCTACTTATGTAGTATGGCAACAAAATGACTTAACAATAGGTTTAACTGCAACAGATCTATAACTCTCCGAAAAAATACATATTAATGACAATCCCGGAGAGTTATTGTGCTACATGTAGTTAGAATAATCTTACTGTGTCTCGGAACAAGCCCTCACCACAGTTAGAATATGTCCCATATACTTGCAATGTAGCAAATCGGAGCTGATCCACTCCGAAATGATTTTGAAGAATAAAAAAGTATTTGCACAGGAAATAACTTCTAAATTAATCAAAACAAACCTTTTTGAGATTGTATATTTATCCCCAAAAATAATCCATATAAAGGCAAAAATCCAATAAATTTTGTCAATGTTTTTCTGCCATGTTTACAATCGGAACTCTCTAGATTGTTCATAGTAAACAGTGGTAAATGCACTGACTACGAGTTATCGCCCCTGTTTCTTTTGCTACATTACAAATACAGGGAACAAATTCTATCGTTAAACTGGGTCCGTAGGACATTTATCATTTATTCCTCTATTTTAAAAGCATTGTGACATCATATAATTATTTTGCAGTGTTATAGCATGTAGCATTTTAGTTAGTACCAAAAATATGTGCTGAGAGCAATTGAGTGAATCTCAATTTGGAGGTCATATGTAAAATAATGTTGCAGGATAAAAAAATTAAATGGTTACTACCTTGATATATATACAACATTTTGGCTCAGATTGAAATGTAAGTATAAATCAGACCATGTTTAGTCAGACAGTAGGAAGAGCTAAATTATTCAAAAAATGACCCCAGGGGGTTAGGTGGAGCCACAATTGGGAATCAAAGTTTTACATAGAAATATAAAGGAAAAATCTTTAAAAATCTTCTTCTCAAGAACCACTGGGCCAGAAAAGATGAAACTTGTTTGAAATCATCCTGGGTTAGTGTAGATTTCAAATTTGTCTAATTGTGATCAGTGGGTTGGGAGGGTCACAATATGTATTACAAGGGGGAAATCTGGTGAACTAAGAACAGAATGGTCAAAGCCTCTCAGGTGAGCAATTTGGGCCGTGAGCCTCTTATTTTTCTTTTTTTTTTTTTTTGTTCGTTGGAGTTGGTAAATTGACCAAATTATGCACGCCAAACAAGACACTTATAGATATTGGATTTGTCCCTTATATATACAGGTCCATATCTGCCCTGCACCAGATTTGTATTTTTTGAACTTGAATACTGTTTGTTATTTCCATATATATATTTTCTTTTTACTTAGACAGAGTTGAGCAGCAGACCTATTCAACCAGTGCCTCAATACCTCCACTTAATCTTAGAGATTGCACTGAAGTCAATGGTATGATGTTTATGAATGGTTTCATTAAACTTTCAGACTATGCAAAATCATTAATTAGAAAAAACTTGTATCTTTAAGTCACCTGAGTTTTTCAGGTGACATTTTTCTATTAAAATTTGTCTGTCATGTGTAGATTATAAATTTTACAATTCGTGACCCATGAGGGGGGTGGGGTTGGGGTAGGGGTGCACAATATAAATTTGCAAGGGGGGAGATCTGGTTAAGAACAGCATCATGGCTGAAGTTCCTGGCCAAAGGTGAGCAATGTGGCAAATAAGCCTCTCTTTTTATGATTACTAATAATTTTATATAAAGTTTAAATACATCATAAGAAGAATTTTCTACAATTTCAGATGCTAACAACAATGCTAATCCTGCTGAAGAAACTTCAGGCAGCCGAACAGTTTGACAGTGTCCAAGCAATAGCCAATGAACTTACAGAATAAATGGCTGTGACTGAAACTCATTAAGTTCAATATCTTTGTACCGTAGTTTTACATGTACTTATATTGTTTAGATAAATAATACCTTTACTCAGATGTGTATCCCTCATATAATTACATTTAATTCATTGACATTTATTAAAGTGGGAATTGATCAACTTCGAGGGTTTCAACAAATTATATCATTTTGTTGAGATGTTATTTCATTGATATACTGTAGTGTATTTTTCAATAGAACATGATAGAATGAAAGTACACCTTTTCGGAATTTTTTTTTATTTGTTTTCAAACATGATACATGTACTGGGGTAAAATAATTTTTCAGAATGTTATTGTAGAATTTTGAATGTTTTTTTTTCTTTTTCTATAAACCTTCCAGTACAATTTTATAGATTTGCAGTTATATTACATATAATATTACCTGTACTTGAATTTATTGCATTGTGGTTAAGTAAATCCATTCACATTCAAATCATGTTGTCTTAGAGGACAGAGACAATACAAGTAGTTTTATGGTATGAAAATTGCAACAATTCTTGTTTTAATTTTTTAGCAATTGTGGCCTTATGCTTCAAAGGATTATTAGAAGTTTAAAATTATTAAATGTGGTCTTATAAGTACATTTCAACCCGATGTCTTCCAAAGTTCCAAACATACATATCTGTGGAGCTCATTTCTTTATCAATCATCATACTCTCCTTCAACTATATTTACTGAAGATATTTGATATTCAAAGTATATATTTAAATACAGATGTTTACATTATATTGTAATGGAATACTTTATATGCACCTGGATCCATAGATAAGGGTCATACCAGTATATTTTTTGTCCTTTTTGTCTGTTTTTCTGTTTGTCTGATTATCTGTTTTTTCTGTTGTCAACTTTAACCTTTGCCATAACTTTTGACCTTGTAACCTTGACTTTGACCTAAACATTAAAAATAACTTTTCAGATATTATTTGCCAAAGGGCGTATAGTGTTTCACAAACACATCTTATTTTTATTGAATCATCTTTAAAAATATTAATGAAGTTAACTCCCTCCAAACCCTTTGAGGTTTGAAAATAATTGTAAGAATGGTATACATGTATTAGTGTAATCTTTTCAGATTGTTGTAAATGAGGCAAAATTAATATTTATTGTACTAGGTGTAGATTATTACCGGGTATGTTCATTTTACAAAATATGTAATAAATATTTAGATTTGAAACATTAAAGAACTAGGTCTAATATGGGCCGAAATTGGCCTTGTTGATTTAAAAATTGGTAATAGTTTGTTTTTATCATAACTTTGTTATATTTAATAATCCGAAAAATTCCAATTTTTGGTAAAAACACTATTTAATGACCTTTCAAGGAACAAAAAAAAAATTTCTCCCTTTGGTGTGTATCAGGTTTTATGGCTCTTAGAATTAAGGCAAGAAAAATCTATTTTTAGAACATCTTGAGATAATTGGAGTTGTCTCCCGCTGAAAGTTGAATTAATTTAAAAGTTTTATAATGGAAAGGATTAACACTGTTCATATGTGTATAAAATACACCAAATCTTTTCCCAGAAATTTGTTTGTAATAAAGTAAAGCTGTAAAGGTAACTGGTATTTTTCATGTGTTTTATAACATTATGACCATTTGCCAATGACAAACATAGATAGTGCTCATGTACACTATGCTAATCAGCAGATTTTGACCAAATTTACAGAAAAGTCTTACAATAGTTTGAAATGAATAAATATAATAATGGGAAGTGAAATTGAGAACCTAACATGAATAGCTCTCTGCATGGTTTTCTCATAGACTCCCTCTTAAATATAATGAACAATTGATGATGTGCGTTTGCCAATTATTGTAATTGTGTTTGTGCCAATAAATATTTGTATTTTGTATTTAAAAAAAAAATTAATTGTTCTAAATCATGAAAAATGGTTCATACACTTTTAAGAATTTATCAGCAATTATGCAGTTTTGTGGTAGAAACGAAACTATTGGGGTCTAAAAGGTCATCAGAACGAGACCCCTCCTAAGCGTCCCGATCACGGAGATCATGATCTATTTATAGAACGAAGACCCAAGTTGAAAACAGTGGCAGTATGTTTACATCGTAGATAAATGTCAAAAGAGTGTGAAGCGATTGCGCAGTAAAATTATCAAGAAGTTAGAAGAAAATACTAAAGATAGAGCACATCGACACTGGTGTTCAGACAATGTAAGTAAACAGTACCAAATGAAGGTGCTTGGGGTTTGTTTTCTTCACAATTTTAAGCGCGCCATTTTGGAACTAAATGGAAGGACGAAACTGTGCAGTAAAGTAAATGAGTAAAGATATGGTCGTTTTCTTTTAATTAGCTTGATGTTTTTTCTTTTTTTCGTTAATACATATATTTTTAAGATTATATTAGTCCCGTGGTATGCTGTTGGGTGTGCAAGTTAAATTATTGGGGCCTAATTACTGGATGTTCTATACGATTGGACATTACGTCATCGGTGTACATCAAAACTTTCAAGGTTAATAAATCATACCAAGATTTCATGGTACACATTCTTTTAAAAATCGTTTCTTAGAACATGCATGGTTTAAATGCCATCTCTGTGTCAAAGCATTTAAGAAAAAAAGGGAGCTAGCACCGTAGCAATTTTTAAGCACAGAAAGGAAGGTTGGTGATAAATTAATCTAATTTGTTGAACTCTTTAACAGGTCAAGACCACTAGATTTTCTGACGTCAGAATAAATTTGCATGAAAATTAGCTATATGTTTACTTTACCCACTATGAATGAGTCGCAATGCATTGCAAGTACTCAGCTGTGTTTAAAATGAAGGCTAATCAAACAGGGGCTATCTTGATCAGTTTAAAAAAAATTGAAGGGGTCATTAGTATGAAAGTATCCCCTGCCACGTGACTATTTCCCAGAATGCACATCCGTGAAGTGGAGCATGCATATTCCAGATATAAGAACTAACATTGTTGCTACATGTAGCGCTCACAAGTGCAAGTAATAAAATTATGATAATTCATAAACATTGTTTGTATCATGGCTGTGTTTTTCCTTTGAAGTAAAGTGTACAAGAACTGGAGATTCACTGATGTGCAGAGCCAGCAAATCTGTGCCGTGTATGTAAATTATTGAACACTAAGGCCATTTCATCATTTAAAATTATTATGTATATTGAATCAGAATTACAGAATGAAATGAAATTTGTTACATACAAAGGGAAAATTTCTGCATATGAACTAAATGTCTTTCACACAAGTTACAGTGCGTATCCCAAATTAGTGATTTATGAAATGCTTTTATGGAAATCTACAAATATTCCATTTACCTCAAGAAGAAATCAAGTTCTTGACATGAATTCCACACAAAAATGGATAAAATTATCACACCTATTGTAATATAATGCTTTAGCAGAATTAAAATGTACCATCTTTGCTGTGTTCTTTGCTTAACTAGTTTGAAGTGCAGCTGTACTTCTTCCACAGATTGGCCCTGACAGCATTTTCGTGAATACGACAGTCTCGAATTTGTCAAATGATCAATGAGTATTTTTTTCTTGACTTCTTGATTTTCGAAAAACACCTAAATTTCTGTTCTTCAACTTCGATTTTTGTCTTCATTCATATTAAAAGAATTTCATATGAATTTCATTAACAATTTGTGTTTTTATTAAGCTGGGATGCTGCAATATGTTTTATCTCATGAACACACACATGTAAAATGTTTATATTAAAAATACTGGCAGGAAGGAGAGATTAACCATGCGGTCACCTTACAAAAACTACATTTTTTATTAGTCCCTACACGGGCGCTATTTGTAACCAGTGGTAGAACATCAGACCATATACATATCATCAGATCTGGTTCAGGTTCAATCATTTATTAGACCTAATTAAATAAAACCTCAGAAAAACCTTAAATATTACAATTACACACAACATATAGATGACACATAGACAGACATTTAGACAGATAATTAAAACATACCCCGGTAATAGACTTTACTTAAGAATAAATTCTTACCGGCACACACACAGGAATTTACAAATATTACTATTTGTTATTGATAAGTTATGTACTTCTAACCAGTTCAACGGCTAGGCTCAAAATGCCCGATATTAGTTCGTGCAAGTGGGAATTCATTGAATAGAATAAAGTCATGTGACTGTCCTTCTAGTGTCTAAAAATAACAACTGCCTCAGTCACACAGTCTTTCATACCACATTCTCACATATGTGCAGCGCAAGTAAATATAAGCATTAAAAGTAATACATAACCCTGGTTACATAATTAAATATCATGCATGAAAAAATGAGACAGGACATTTGATTGGCCATGATACAAAAAATATTACTGAATGTTTATTATGGTGTACATAACTTGATTTATTTGGATGAAGGGCGGAGACTTGTGCCTTGCACTTGTCACAGCCCTTCGTCCAAATAAATCAGGATACAACATTATTAATATACAATAAGTATTACTTACACAACTTTTCTCATTTTTATGCACCCGGATCGAAGATCTGAGGCGTATATTGTTTTTGTCCTGTCTGTCTGTTTGTCTGTTTATCTGTCTGCAAACTTTAACCTTCGCTATAACTTTTGAACCATGAATGGTTGAGACTTCATATTTGGTATGCATACGCCATTAATTAAGTTCTTTCAAATGACATCAAGGTCAATGACCTTGTGACCTTGACTGTGACCTATATGCTAAAAATAGTTTTTTTCTGCAAACTTTAACCTTCGCTATAACTTTTGAATAATAAATGATAGAGACTTCATATTTGCTACGAATACTCCACTAATGAAGCTCTTTCAAATGACATCAAGGTCAATGACCTTGTGACCTTGAGTGTGACCTATATGCTAAAAATAGCTTTTTTGAACCTTCATCATAACTTTTGAACAAAGAAAGATAGAGACTTCATATTTAGTATGCATACTCCACTAATTAAGTTCTTTCAAATGACACCAAGATCAATGACCTTGTGACCTTGACTGTGACCTATATGCTAAAAATATGTTTTTTAACTTTGTGGTGCCGGGCGCATAGTGTTTCACAAACACATCTTGTTTAATAGTACTTCTGTGCAGGAAAGAAGTGTCTGGTTTAACACTGGCCAATGTCCTAGGCTAAATTCACTTGTTCAATTATTATAATATAAAAATTGTCAGACATTTTGTTGATACTCATACATAAGTTTTAAGCAATACTGAAACACAAATGCCATTTAGTATCTATATTTCATTTCTAGCATTAATGAGCATTGGCAACCAATTTTTTTTTTTTTTTTTTTTTTTTTACTGGAAAACGCTTGCTCCACTTCATGATCAGGTATTTAGGAATACATGTTGTACCGTAGATAAACTGTGTGATGCTAATTTTGTTTTATAATCTGAAAATACAAGTAAACTAGAATTTCGTGTTTTGTTGTCTATATATATATTTCTGGAAAATTACCTTGGCACATTTTAAGACTTCTTTTGGGTTTCTACTCCAGTTGGGAGTATGATAAAACCAGATGGCTTCCAAGTACATGTATTTCATTATGAGGTCTCTGGTTTTATGTTTCATTTGTAAACTCAACCAGAAATTTGTATCCCAATAAAAGTCTTAAAATGTTTAACGAATAAATGATAAGTTTACAATATTGAAAGAGGCTCGACCAGAGATGTCTGATATGATTTAATTGACAAGAAAAAGTCTCTTGAAGGGAACAATGTCATAAGTAGATTAATGATTGATATACATGTACATTGTATTAACAAAATACAATCTTGAAGTCGGGGTACCTGAAATTGAGTTAGGTTTTTTTTTTTTTAAAATAGTAGATACGAAATAAGTGCAAAAGAGAAAAAATCTGTTTTAAAATGTTCTTCTCAAGAACAGCAGAGCCATGATTGATAGTGGTGTTCCGGTCATTGATTATGATTGAAAATCAGTTGATAGCAAGCATAATCCAAGTCATCTTTAAAAACATAGCAATTCTGATTTATCGGGGGTTTTTTTCTTGCTAGATTAATAGTTCTTCGTTCACCAGAGCCCAAAACTCAAGTGAGCTTTTCTGATCATATTATGTCCATCTGTCAGTCAACTTTTTACATTTTCGACTTCTCAAAAACCAATTTCAACCAAACTTGCCACAAAGTATCTTGTGGTGAAGGGGATTCAAGTTTGTTAAATTGAAAGGGAGATAATTTAAAAAAAATGGTGAAAAATTAATGGCATCTTTAAAAATCTTCTTCTTAAAATGCACTGGGCCAGCAATGATGAAACTTAAATGATAACATCCTCAATAAGTGTAAATTCAAGTTTGTCAAATT